TTACGCAGCGACACCCTCCTGAGGGCTTATAGCCAGGATTCCGACAGATAAAAGGGCACTTTTTTTCGGCTCTTTTTACGGTTAAGGTGCGCTACTACTTTCCCCGGGCGGCGCGCCCCCATCACGAAAGGGGTGAAGCCTGTGTTACTCTTTGTTGGTGTAAACCCTGACCCCGAAAAAATAAAACTTTTTTCCAAAAAAATAAAGCGGTACGTTCGGTGACGTCTTTATGTGACAACGCGTCCGTCCGGGCCATCCCCCCCCCCCGCGGTCCTTCCTTCCGATTTCGGCCGCGAGACTTGTTGCATTTTATTGGCAATAATTTTCCCGGCGGAAATGCCTCCTCCGGTTTCGCGGCCGCCGTAGAGGAAGGCTAGCTGGCCGCGCCGGCCCGCGTGGGCCCCGCGTGAGAGCGGAGCCCAGAGGGAACGCCCAGACCAAATGTGCGGCTCGAGAAAAAAGGGAAAACTATAAAATGTAGTTCAAGCCGCGCCTTGGCTCGTCAACGCCACACACACACACACACCACGCACACAGTGCGGCGTGGCCGCGCATATAGGAAACCTGAAACATCTGCCATCGAGCGCGACTGACTCCACGCACTCGGTCGCACATATAGGGCGCGCGGAACCCCGGGGGGGTTTCACTTTCAGGCGTTTTTCACTCCCTTTTGAGCCCCGGCCGTCTCTGTCGCACTCATCGGGGGACCCGGGGGCGCGACAGAGACAGAGAGGCAGAGTGAAGCGGCAGGAGGGCGCGCCCGGGGGTTGAACTGCATAGCAAAGGCGGGGGAATATGAGAAATTCGCAGCAGCTGCGCGTCCCAACCCCCACCAACATGCAGGCGCCACAACAAGGGGGCCATTTTAATTTAATCGCGTGAAACACAAACAGCCACTAGCCGCGCAGACCGCGCAGAGCCCCGTTGACAGCTTGTTGAATCGCGCCGGCGCCGCGCCGCACCGCGTGTAAGGGGGAGGGGGGCACAGTGGGGCCCGAAGACCGGGGGAGGCGGCCAAACTGTAGACGCGTTTTTAGCTCCGGTGTCGCTGAACAGGACTGGAGCCAAACGTGTGACCCCACCAATGGATTCCTCTTCGGAGAGCAAACCATTTGGGGGGGGTCACACGTTTGGTTCGAGTCCCATTCAGCGACTCTGGGGCTCAAAACGCGTGCGGGATTTTGGCCATCTCCACCGGGGCTTCTGGCCCACTGTGGAGGGGGGAAATAGGGGCAGCGTCCCTTTGAGGTTTGAGGGAAAGGGTGGGGCGGCGCATCTATTCGACAACCGCGGCTGGCTGCGCTGACTGCGCTGCGACCCGCATCGCGAGACGCGGCCCACTAGGTCAGTTCCCGATGCCGCGCGCGTGGCGGGCCGACGGCGCCCATGCTATTCTGGCCCCCCCTTTTAAGAATAGTTTATTCGAATTCCGATACATTGTTTTTTCATGCATCGAGCCGAGAGTCATTGCTCCGTCACAGAAAT